CAAATTAAGGTTCAAAGCGCAGAAGAAAAAATAAATAAATAAAAATAAATAAATAAGGATTTTTTTTAAAAATCTTCGAGCAAAAACAATATAGGTTTCCATAGTTACCTATAATACAAATGATACGTCGTTTTAAAGCGTACAACAAGGCGAACGCAACTATTGGGTTCTCGGTGATTGACGAGCGCGTCCCTCGCCATCATGAGGTCACCCACCCCCCCCATAGGACTTTAATCATTTCACTGTGTACTACAGCAGGAGCAAAGCCATTCCGTGCCTCCGGCACGGATTTATCAGTGCTTGGGCACGTGCCGTCGCGTGCAGGTCACAATCTCCGGGCGCTTATGACAGTTACAACGCTTCGCCCAGGCATTACTCGTTGGAAAAGCAATAGGCCCTTACCCCGGTTGGGGCTCGGGCCTAAATATATACTATACTTATGTTATCACAAGTAATAATCATGATCTAAAATGTTGCATGAGGGTCTTTTAGACTGTTACTCTCTAAGATTTTACCACATTTATGGACCTTGTCATAAGGTCCATAAATGTCCTTGACAACAGGTCAAGGACATTTATCAACATTCATGGCCATTGGTCAACTCCACCTATGGACCAATACCTATGTTCTATTTTTTTTGTGTTTGAACTGTTTGATTCTCTGATCTGTGTTGGCAATTTTTGTTGTGATTTAGGGCTATACTAGAATAAATTGAATTGAATGGAATTACAGCCAGGTAAAGTCCCCTCTATGCAAATAGTCATGAATGTTGGTTTCTCCCTATGGACCAATACATACTGTATGTGTTCTATGTATTTTTTTATCTTAACTGTTGGTTCTTTGATCTGTGTTGGTAATTTGAATGGTTTTATTAAGTCCTCTGAGATGACTGTTGTTGTGATTTATGGCTATACAAGAATAAATCGTATTGTAATTGTATTGTATTGTGCTGTTTCCCCTGTGAGTCCGCCTCCCCGCAATCAATCCGTCACATAGAACCCAGAGCTCCTCCAAAATCGGACCCCAATTATTTAGTTCACAGAAGTATACAGCGACAGTGACTCAGTTGGTAGAGCCTTGGTTCAGTTTTTGAGTGCTGATTCACTGTTTTGGTTTCTCCTTCCTGCCAGTCACCTCCTGGGGGCAGACTTCTGTGAAAGTGTGCTATGTAACAAAGTGAATCAATCGTTTTTGAGCCTCTGGAGAATGAAAGAGGAAGATCACTCTCTGACTAAAGAATGAAGAAACTACTCTGGGCATCTGTATGAATGCCAATTAGCATAGTAATGATGTTTGAACCAGAGAAAAGTCAAAAAGCCTAATATGGGATCTTTGAAGTTGTTAGATGTTGTAAAAGTCATACGTGGCATGGTAAAGCAATCAGCAGGGGGCAATAGAGGGCAGACTCTAACGGTGCTTTCAGACCGGATCATGCGTTGCGGAGGCTTTCAATTCAAAGTCTATGGTGACGAGCGTTTGAACGTCACAACGCACGGACCTCTCGGCACGCATCGGACGGACTGTTCAGTAGAGACGCACGGACTCGGCGGGAAAGTCAAAGGGGAGGAGCAGGAGCGAAAAATCAACGCCCACAGGAGATGGATTCTGCTCATCCTTTCCTCAGGACGTTCTTGCAGCGACCAATCAGAGAGCCGCAAAGTGGTCACGGGGACATTAGCGGACTGAGCGAGCAGATTGACAATACTCGTAAACAGCCAAAACAGGACCCACACCAGGCTTCACCAGAATTCAAACCAGGGCTGACAATGGGGGACTCTGTGCTTGTGAAAATATGTGTTGTCATGCTCCCGTGACCTTATGCAACTGCTTCGAGTGTGTTCACCGATGCGGAAATACCGTTTAATAATATGAAAAAACGTATGGCGCACCTCCGTGAACACATACTACTGTTATATAAAGTCACCTCCGTGAACACATACTACTGTTATATAAAGCCTGTGGAAGGTCTCTGTTCAAAGACACGCTGCAAAGCTGCATATTGGAGAAGATCTGTACACAGGAAGCCGCTAGCTAAACTCTGTTAGCATCAGAGCCGGCCGGCTACTTCCGGCACTTCCGGTGCGCGTCAGGACTTCTCGGTGTGAAGACCCGTGCGTCTGAAAACTAGAGAATGGTGAGCGGGGCTCCAGCGTTTCGGTCTGAAAGCACCATAAGGCCCCATTAAGACAGAGACACTACAAAGAAGCTACAAAGCATTTTGCAAAAACGGGCAGTAGTGGGCAGTGGAACGTTGCAACATAACTTGCACAACCCCCACCAGTATAACCACTTCCTCAACAACACAATTTATGCATTTAACAGTAGCCGCAAAAATGGAAACTGAAACTACAGCTTTGCATGGTTTTGTTTGAATGGACGAAGGAGTAGATTTTCTCTTCCATGTAACGCTCAGAGCACACATAGCATTAATGGATCTGCCATCATCGCTGATTGTGCTTGTTCTCGGCCACTGTGCATGTCCAAATGTAAGTGCAGAGAAGTGGTGAGGTCATTGCAGCCACAGAAGTGGATCTGTTCTGTTCCACTCTGGTTGCTGTTTCTCAACGTTTGCATTTTCACCTGAAACACCGTCCCTGTGTAAATGAAAGGCCCATTCGACACCCAACTCTAACGTTTTACTGTTGTGTAAACAGCCTCTAAAACCCCTCGGCCATTTTTCACATTCTCTCTTTTACAGTCCATGCTTCTGTGTCAGCCTAGTGTTTAGGCCTCAATTTATTTCAATAACATTTATTTTTGTATAGCCCTAAATTACCGCAGTTGTTATCTCGGACTATACAAGCTGATGATTTGTCAACACAAATCAGAGAATCAAACACTGTTTGATTCTCTGCTGCCCTCGCTGCACCACACAAAGGAGGCGGCGCTGACGTGCCATCGTTCAACAGCCCTGATGGGAGCGACACTATGTATTTTGAATGCCTATGATCAGTGATTACGTGTCAACAACGGTTTTTGTTGCGTTCTTTACTCCCCAGCTTAGCCGGGCGTAACAATATAAGAAGGAGCCAAGCCATTTATGGCTTTGTATGTTAAAAGAAGGGTTTTAAACTTTATTCTGTACTCCACAGGGAGCCAGCCGAGTGATTTAAACACCGGAGTTATGTGCTCCCTCTTTTTGGTACCTTAAGATCCTTGCTGCTGTATTTTGAACGAGCTGGAGGCTCTTCAAATAGGTTTTAGGGCACACTGCCAGCAAAGCCTTACAGTAGTCAAGTCTTGAGGTGACAAAAGCTCAAATCAGTTTTTCTGTATCACTTTTAGGAAGGACATTCTTGATTTTAGTGATGTTCCGCAAGTGGAAATACAGCGTTTTAGTTGCTTGGCTTATATAGGCCTTGGAAGAGAGTTCTTCATCAAAAACAACTCCAAGATTACTCACAGTGTTGCTGGGTACTATACTGACATTATCAAGAGTGTCTATCTGGTCAGCAAGGGAGAAACGTAGACTCTTTGGGCCGAGAAGGATCCCTTCTGTCTTCTCCAGGTTAAGCAGTAGAAAGTTAAGAGTCAACCTACATGTTGACTGATCAAAAATCTGCTTTCAACTTTTGAGATGAGGTGGAGTGATTTTAAACCAAATCGGTGAAATAGCCAAGATTGATTTTGTGCAAGATATACTTTTCAGATATTTTTCTATTGACACAGAGTGGGGAATGTTTGTCGTTGCCAGGGCAACAGAGTAAAAAATAAGGCATTGGTCTCTTTGGCTTTTTGAATCAAGATCCCAAAAGTAAATTATCTGCAAAATTTCAAACATTTTGAAAAAACTAAATATCTTTCTTCCCATATAAAACTTGACTCAGTCTGTAGGGGGCGCTAATGTTGCAATTTCATGTTTTATACTTTCAGTTTAACTAACCCTGAACGTTTTGTGAAAATCGAACTTTGTATGTGCAAACGGGGTCATTTACTTTGCACAATACGGACGACACCACCCTCATTGGACTCATCCCCAACAACGATGAGTCTGCCTACAGGAGGGAGGTGGACCGGCTGGTGTCCTGGTGTCTCCTACAGGAGGGAGGTGGACCGGCTGGTGTCCTGGTGTCTCCTACAGGAGGGAGGTGGACCGGCTGGTGTCCTGGTGTCTCCTACAGGAGGGAGGTGGACCGGCTGGTGTCCTGGTGTTTCCTACAGGAGGGAGGTGGACCGGCTGGTGTCCTGGTGTCTCCTACAGGAGGGAGGTGGACCGGCTGGTGTCCTGGTGTCTCCTACAGGAGGCAGGTGGACCGGCTGGTGTCCTGGTGTCTCCTACAGGAGGGAGGTGGACCGGCTGGTGTCCTGGTGTCTCCTACAGGAGGCAGGTGGACCGGCTGGTGTCCTGGTGCAGTGGTAACAACCTGGAGCTGAACGCCCAGAAGACAGTGGAGATAATTGTGCACTTCAGGAAGAGCACTGTCCCCCCGCCCCCACCCTCCGTGATGGACTCCCCCATCACCTCTTGTAACGGTCAGTTAGGTTGTAGCACCATATTACGCCACTGCACGGCGCTATTTGCATATACACTGTATGTATGCTGTTAGCAAGAGGCACACGCATTTTGTCTCTCTCTCCAACTCTACGTAACAAGTGGTATGGGTGAAATAACTGTCATGTATGGCATTATATGAAGACCTGGCATTGTTCTATCAATAAAGTAAGTGGAGATAAAACGAGTCTTTTTCCCCTTTTTGAGTGCATTGCTAAAGACTTTTCACCTGAAGACTGCCACCCCACGTTACAACTGGCGCCCAAACTATTTTTCCCAGGACCTCGGTCGAGTTTTTCCTTCACAAAGGATTAAGCTGCCTCACGTAAATGTATATTGGACTTATATTTGCTTTTGCTGTGGTTTTCCCCGGTCATCGCTGGAGCTCAGATTCGAGTGGTAACCGACTATACTGTTGTGCGATGTGTCTTTTATATGTGATTTAGGTTAGGACAGCTCAGTGTGTGTGAACGTGAGTGAGTGCGCGTGTCCGAGGCCCCGCCCACGAATGAGACCCGCAAAGCGGACGGGTGGGTTGGAGTTTGAGGAGTGTGAGAGTATGACCGGAGGGAACGGCGACCGGTGCAGGTAGAGAGTTAAATGGCCCTGTATGCTAGTGCAGCCAAGCAAATAAAGCAAACCACTCTTCAGCAAGACGGCCTCCGTGTTTCTGTAAGCCACCACCACACGTACAGCGAGAAGTTGAGGGAGTTAAACCCCGGGAGAAGTACCGGCCCTGGAGACGACGGATCTCCCCTGTGTCTCCCAACCACGGTTAGGGGACGAGAAACAGGAAAGGTTTAACACTGGCGACCACGAAGGGACCTTCACGTTGTTAAAAGACTGGTGAGCATCGAAAATAAAAGGAGAATAAAACGCAAAGCCGAGTGACTGTAATACAACTGTAATAGCGGAGGAGCTAAGCTAATACAACATGGCGGCCGCTCGCTATCCCTCCGATGTTTACGGACAAGAAACCAACTACTCAAACCCGTTCATGTCGTTCACCAATGTGGAGGACAGCTGGCAAGGTGCTGTGGAAACGTATGAACGCAAGGCTGAGAGAAAATGCGATCATTATAACCCATTTCTGTGTGATGAAAGCTGCGCTAACACACTTGCTAATGGAGAAGATCTGTTCGCGCCGTTCGACAGCCCCGCTCGTTATGCGCCCACAAATCCCTTTTTCGGGGCCAACAGTCAAAGCCACGGCTCCGTGGAAAGGCCAGATATTAAAATTGTTCCGTATCCCGCTCCTGTCATGCCATTAAAGGGGCATTATGAAGTCACAAACCCCTTTGCCACTGCTCACATGGGAAGTTTTGTACATAGCACACCAGCTACATCCAAACCTGCAGCCAGTACGCTTCCCATGCCCTATGACTTGATTAATCCAGACGTGACTGTTAAACATGGACATTTCCCAGTGCCCGGTCTCTCTCATCTCCAACACGTAAGAGCCGCTCTATGCCCCGCGCTGCGTCGGACAGTGATGAGGACTACAACCCCAAAGAGAGAGTCCCCACTCTACGTCCCGGCCAGTACGACGGCAGTACACCCTGGAGAGAGTTTCTGCACAGGTTCGAGAGCTGCGCAGAGGCAAATCACTGGTCAGCCAAGACAATGGCAATTCAGCTGAAATTCTGCCTCACCGGAGCTGCAGGTGCCATCGTCCACAGGAACCATCGTTCCTCCAGGTGGGACTACCGCCGCCTGCTGGAGGAACTCGAAACTGCTTACGGCCCTTCTTCAGATCATGCAGCGGCTGTAGCAGTGGAGCTGAGACAAAGAGTGCGTAAAGCTGGTGAGGCGCTTCATGTGTTCAGGGATGACATTTATGGGAAAGTAGCTGTAGCTTATGGTGATTGGTCAGAGAAGGAGCAAGACGCTATAGCTGTAGAAGTTTTCACAAACGGCCTGGGCGAGGCGGAGCTAGTCCAAAGACTGTTAGAAAAACGTCCAGCTACACTAGCCAAAGCTTATGAGATAGCCCACCGTCATGACACCACCAAGAGAGCTGCTTCCTATGTCACCAGCATCATGCAGCCGGGAGCCCGCAACCTCACTGAACGCAGGCCCCGGGCCGCTGTTGTCAGAGAAAGCGAAAACAATGAGACTGTAACTACACCTGCAGCTAGCCCATCACCCGATCGCTTTGTCCCACACACATTTGGAAAAACACAGAAGCAGCACCAGAACTTTAGGAAGGGTGACATCCGCTGCCATAACTGTAATGGTTGGGGTCACAAACAGAGCCAGTGCTCGTCCCCTAAAAGAAATACAAAGACTTTCACTCCGGGCACCGCCAAAGAAAGGCCGCAGACCACTGTGCTCCACCTTAAGGGCCAGAATCGTGAAATGAACATTCACATGCGCATATTTGAGCTGGAGTTGTGTGCAGTCCTGGACAGTGGAGCGCGGAGGAGCGTGCTGCCCCTTCATCAATACAACGCCATTCACCGAGACATGAGACCTCCGCTTCGCCCATCCATTGTAGAGACTCTGCTCGGGGTGGGACCAGGAGACGTGCCAGTTTTTGGTGAGGCCAAAGTACCTGTCAGCATTAACAACCGTCAAGTTGAAGTGGACTTCCTTGTAGCGGACATAGAGGGCAATGAAGTACTGCTTGGCCACCCTTTCCTCACTCAAGCTGAGGCCCGCCTTGATTTCGGTAAGCACCGCATAGTTCTGTTTGGAGAAGAAGTGCCCTACTTTCACCCAGAGACTGTTCCAAAGTCACACGCTGTGAGAGTATCCAGAACTGTAGTGGTTGAACCGGGACAAGAGTACCTAGTCAAGGGCAAGGTGCATTTTAGCACAGAAGCTCTCAGGGGGACATGATGCTTAGCCCCACAAAAGGCTTTGTTGAAAAGCACAAAGTACTCATTGCCAGAGCCCTAGTCAACGCACAGCCCGCCAACATCGTCCCATTACGTCTCTTCAACCCGGGCAACAAAGCTGTCACCATTAAAGAAGGTGCCATTGCAGGCCTCCTCCAACCAGCTGAAGCTCTGTCCTCGTCCAGTGTCCCCACAGCGGCAGACTTTCCAACCAGCTCCCCTGCAGTCCCAGGGCACCTCCAGGAGCTCTATGCCCAGAGCTCCACTGACTTTAATGATAATGAAAAACTTGAATTGTCTAACCTGTTGTGTGCCTATGAAAGTGTCTTTTCCAGGGGACCTGGTGATCTGGGCCGGACCAGTCTCGTGCAGCACGACGTCATAACCCGGCCTGGACCTCCAGTAAAGCAGCATCCTCGTCGTATGGCTGGGGAGAAGCAGCAAAGCGCAGACCAGCAGATCTGTGAGGGCCTCCAGAGCGGCATCGCCAGCTGCAGCCACAGCAGTTGGGCCTCACCGATCGTAATGGTGCGTAAAAAGGATGGGACTTACCGCCTTTGTATAGACTACCGGGCACTCAACAGCCGCACCATCACCGACGCATACCCGCTACCCCGCATCCAAGACACACTGGACACTCTCTCCACTGCCAAATGGTTCAGCACCCTGGATCTCGCTTCAGGTTATTGGCAAGTCGAGCTAACGCCAAGAGCCCGCCGTGCAGCCGCCTTTTGCACCCGTAACGGACTGTTTGAGTGGAACGTTATGCCGTTTGGTTTATGCAACGCGCCGGCGACGTTCCAACGCCTTATGGACCGCGTCCTCGCCGGCATGCAGTGGGAGATCTGCCTCGTCTACCTGGACGACATCATCGTGCTGGCCAAGGACGTGCCCGAGATGCTGCAGCGGCTGAGCCGAGTGTTCCAGAGACTTAAACAGGCAAACCTCAAACTAAAACCAGCCAAATGCTGCCTGTTCCGCCGCCAAGTTACCTATCTAGGTCACATTGTGTCCGAGCGCGGTGTGGCTACTGACCCCAATAAAGTCAACAAAGTTCAAGCTTGGCCCACTCCCACATCAGTCCAAGAGGTCAGACGTTTCATTGGCCTCGCCTCCTACTATCGCAGGTTTGTGAAAGACTTTGCTTCCATCGCCGAACCGTTACACAACCTGACGAAGAAAAATGCACACTTCCAGTGGCACGCTGAACACCAAGCCGCCTTTGACACGCTTAAGCACCGCCTCACCACGGCCCCTGTCTTAGGCTATCCACTGGACCATGGTGAGATGATCCTGGACACCGATGCCAGCGACACAGGTATCGGCGCTGTCCTGTCACAAATGCAGGGTGGCACAGAACGTGTGTTGGCATACGGCAGCCGCAAACTAGCCAAAGCTGAACAGAACTATTGCACTACGAGACGAGAGCTGCTGGCCATTGTCGATTTCACATCTAATTTTCGACAGTATCTACTTGGGCGGCCTTTCAAGGTTCGCACTGATCACAGCAGCCTGCGCTGGCTCACACGAATGAAAGAGCCAGAGGGTCAATTAGCCCGGTGGCTTGAAAAGCTAGCGGAGTACGAGTTCGAAATCCTTCATCGCCCAGGTCACTTACACACTAATGCTGACAGTCTCTCCCGCAGGCCCTGCCGCCAATCCTGTCCTTGTAATCTGCAGGACCCTTCCTTGCAGCTGAGAACCACGAGTCACCAAGCAATTCAGTGTGATTTGGACTCTGACACTAGCTCCCTGTTGCTGAGTCCGGTGGGGGTAAGCGCTGTCAATGTTACCAACACAGACAATTTAAAACAAACAGAGACTATCTATGTGACAAACACGAACGAAACCGTACTGTTCCCTGGTTGGACTATGGAGGAGTTGCGCCAGGCTCAAGCTGCTGATACGGACATTGCACAAATCAGAGCTTGGTTAGAGGCCAGCAGTGAGCGCCCCCCTTGGACCGCAGTCTCCCCATGCAGCCCAGCCACCAAAACGTACTGGAGTCAATGGAAAAGACTGTATTTCAGAGATGGAGTACTGGTCCGTCGCTTTTATTGTTTAGACGACACACAGTTCTATCCTCAAATTGTTCTCCCACGTAAAATGCAACCCGACGTTATGCGCCAAATGCATGAGGGGCCAGTAGGTGGACATTTTGGTATTGAAAGAACTGTGGCCAGACTTCAAACCAGATACTACTGGTACCACATGAGAGAAGATGTGGCCCTCTGGTGTCGGACTTGTACAAACTGTGCATGCAGAGCCAGACCCCACAAGACTCCACAAGCGCCCATGGGAACTGTCAGAGTTGGAGCCCCCATGGAGCGCATTGCACTGGATATCATGGGCCCACTCAATGAGACAGAACGCAAGAACAGTTACATACTCGTGATTCAGGAGTATTTCACAAAATGGACTGAAGCTTTTCCGATTCCTGATGAAAAGGCTGTGACAGTGGCAAACGTTGTTGCAACAGAATGGGTGTGCCGCTTTGGAATGCCTCACTCTCTGCACAGCGACCAAGGACGCAATTTTGAATCAGAGGTATTCCAAGAAATGTGCTGTTTGTTTGGCATCGACAAAACCCACACTACACCATTCAGACCGCAGTCCGACGGCCAAGTTGAACGTTTCAACGCCACACTCCAAAAGATCCTGGCCTCCACTGCGGAACGCTGTCACTGGGATTGGGACTTGATGATCCCATATGCAATTATGGCCTACAGAGCGACCAAGCACAGCGCTACTGGTTTCACCCCCAACTTCATGATGTTCGGCCGTGAAATAAGTGAGCCAGTGGACCTTGTAGCTGGTTTGCCTCCGAACTCTGACAATGCACCTTCAGCCCCCGAGTATGTGCAACAAATGCGTGAGCGGCTGGAACTGGCTCACAACATCACCCGAGAAGCCCTCGGCAAGTCAGTCACATGTGCAAAAAGACAATACGACAAAAACGCTTGCCACACACAGTACAAAGTCGGTGACGCGGTGTGGTATCTGATCAAAGGAACACGTTATGTCAAAAACAAAGTCAAAAAGTTTCTCCCTGCCTACGAAGGACCTTACTTTGTTATGGGACATTTGGACGATCTAGTCTACCGGATCCAAAAGAGCCCCAGAGCTAAGGTCAAAGTTGTCCACCATGATCAACTCAAACGCTACCGCAGCCGTGAGCCCCTGGACAACACCTGGGTCCCGGACCAATCCCAGAACTGGACACCTTCTGAGATCCTTCCACCAGCTGTGGACGGGCACTCTGCAGACCAGGAGGACCTCGGCCTGCACAGCCTCTACTCTACTGCCTCAAGTGACGGCCCCAGCGCCGTCCGGCCGTCCACTCCACCTGCTACTGAATCGACCATGATCGGGGCTCCTCCATCCACTCCTTCCCATGTGATACTTGACCATGGTGGGGGTGCGGTGGGAGAGCCACACCACCAGTCTCCGCATGAACCTCGGCCCCAACGTCAGCGCCGAGGACCGGTCCGGTATGGGGACTGGGTTACTGAGTGAGTCATGTATGACAGTTCATATTTGCACTAGAGAATTTGCAGTTTACATTTTTGGACTCTAGTGTACTTGTTTAATACTTTTGCTACAAAAAGCACATTTTTCTTTACATTTAAAAAAAAAAAAAAAAAGGAAAAGCTGAAGAGACAATGCTTTTACATTGCACTTTATTGCATTTGAATGTATGTTATGATTAAGGTTAGTCAGACAGTATTACCTCCGGTCGCCAAAGAATAGAACTTATATTGTGATGTACTCCTATGTTTACTCCTGTGTTCACTGTTAAACGAGCTTTAAAACTGCATCACTTTAGACACTTGTCAAATTAGTATAACCTACCTACTCATTTGAACTCACATACTATTTGGGACACAGCTATCTCTTCACGTTTTTAGGCCTACAGATATAGAGATTGTGTACTAAGTTTTGTATGGAATGGAATTAGTGTTAATTGCCAGTCCATGGTGGGGGTAGTGTTGTGCGATGTGTCTTTTATATGTGATTTAGGTTAGGACAGCTCAGTGTGTGTGAACGTGAGTGAGTGCGCGTGTCCGAGGCCCCGCCCACGAATGAGACCCGCAAAGCGGACGGGTGGGTTGGAGTTTGAGGAGTGTGAGAGTATGACCGGAGGGAACGGCGACCGGTGCAGGTAGAGAGTTAAATGGCCCTGTATGCTAGTGCAGCCAAGCAAATAAAGCAAACCACTCTTCAGCAAGACGGCCTCCGTGTTTCTGTAAGCCACCACCACACGTACAGCGAGAAGTTGAGGGAGTTAAACCCCGGGAGAAGTACCGGCCCTGGAGACGACGGATCTCCCCTGTGTCTCCCAACCACGGTTAGGGGACGAGAAACAGGAAAGGTTTAACAATACTCTGGATGTAACCGTGAGTGCACGCGCTGCTGTTTTTCTGCGGTGAAGGGACAATAAGCTAACGCTATTCCACACGCTATATCAGTGGTTAGTGGACATCAGGATCACGCTGGATTTGCTTCCCTACGCACATTTTTATTTTTCTCTCAAACTGAAATGCAGTAGTGGAGCTATGCTGAATGTTTTTTACCCCATTTTGAGCACATGAAAACTTTCCCTGCCTGCCCTCCAGCATTTAGACTGTCCCGGACTTGCCAGTGAGTACTGACTTTAGTGACGAGTTCTTCTATCGTATGCTACTAAGAAATATTGCAACGACGACTAAAAAATATCCATAGTATGTGGAATGCACAAGGCGTTAGCTGCAGTTACCAAAGATTTATTTGCACTTGTGCAATGTAGGAGCAGGCCCGTCGGAAGGGCTGTGCGACCCTCACACAGGGCCTCGCACCACACAGGGGCCTCGCAATCTTATTTCCTTTTTTTATTTTTATTTTTTATAAATACACTAGTTCAAGGGTCCCCAAAGGGCGGACTGCACTCCAAGTTTGGACCCCTAAAACCCTTTCTCTGGACCTCTGTGATTTTGTTTGATCAAAAGAACATTTTTACAAGTAAAGTCAAATTTTCACAAAAAAAGCGATTTGTAAACAGACAGGCGCGCGGGCAGCTATGTATGCAGCGGGTCCTCCGAAAAAAACTCTACAGAGCTGTCAGATAACTTTAGCAGTGTCTGAGTGAGATACGAAGAAAGTAACAGGAATAATCGCAGTAAACGGAGAGATGGATACTCGCGGAGGAGGAGCAGCGAGACAGGTGTGAGCAGAGGAGGAGGAGGAGGAGCAGCGAGACAGGTGTGAGCAGAGGAGGAGGAGGAGGAGGAGGAGCAGCGAGACAGGTGTGAGCAGAGGAGGAGGAGGAGGAGGATCAGCAGCGGTGTGACAGGTGTGTGAGCGCTGCTATTGCCAATGTTTAGTCCGAATATTCACATCAAAAACATATTTTTAAAAGCATTAGCAAACAGGCCCGTCCCAAGGGGGGTGCGAGGCCCTGTGCGAACACGAAACGCGAGGCCCTGCCTTGACACTTTTTTCCCAGATGTTACTTTTCTTCCCCTGCCCAGTGATCTCTTAACCGTAGTACAGAGGCTGAACAGGCGTAGTACTCGTTAGACGTATTTTTATTCCAAAAATAGAACAGGAGCATGACAGAGGAGCCTTAATGAAGAGAGGCCACTGCAGAACAGAGCGTTGAGCGCCAAAACAACAGACTACACAGACCCAAGACATCCCACAATGCACCGCTCTTAAAGGGCCAGGCTTGGCCTATTACACTACCCCCACTATGGATGATAAATAAAAACTTTTATATCACTCCAGCACAAAATAATGCACATTAGGAAATTATAATCAAACACTCCACCCTAGTGGTAATGTTCCAAGCCCACAGTCTTTGCAAACCATAGTCAAGTACTGATGGGGAACTCTGGCAAAGGTGACATACGTTAAACCTCATGACAAATGTACATCGCTTGGAGGAGTCCAGGTAGAAAGGTAGGTATGGGGTGAAGTGCATAGCTCGAATTGGAATGTCCTGCCTTAGCTCAGCTCATAAAATCCCCATTTAAACAGTCATTACTCCTTTAACCTGCAAGGCACTTGTATATATAAACTCAATGTGCACACATAACCGACAAACAGTGCAAAAATGGCATGTACTAAACAACATGTAGTAAGCCTCCAACATTTTTAACATAACAGTAAACCATTTTATTTATTTATTTACTCCGATTAGGCAGGAATCTGACTCGGGGATAAAACACTTGTTGCAGAGACTAGTGACTAAGCCAGTCACCAAACTTATCAGGTGCTCTCCGTGTCCTCTGCGACCTGGACAGAGGGGCAGAGATCGAACGGTGACGCCGTCTCACGCTCTGCGATGTATGCCGAGTGCCAACCTCATCCCACTGAGGCTGTGTGGGGCTGGCAGGTGGTTGAGGGCCAGGTGATGAAGGACCAGCAACCTCTCTGGCGGCGGCCGGGGTATTCTCGAAGTCAGAGGTAGTGTCTCTGGTGTCTGAAGGGGTATCCTCGGAAGTAGTGTCCCACAGCTGAAGAGGGCCGAAGTCCGTGTCAGAGTCCACATCAGACACAGGGGGAGACACCTCCAGTGGTGTTGGTGTGTCGTTTCTCTGGAAAACCCAGCTGTTGTCGAGCAGGGCTCTGGAATGGAAAGGTTTGAGCTTTCCTTGGACCTTTCTGGATCTGGTACACCAAGTCGTCCAGCTGACCCACGATAAAGTAAGGGCCCTCGTAGGACGGCAGGAACTTGCGGACCTTGTGTCTTACTCGTTTGGTGCCTTTGACTAGGTACCACACCGCAGAACCGACCAGGTACTGAGTTTGGCAAATGTTCTTGTCATACTGTCTCTTTGCTCTTTCAGAGGCCTTTCCCAGAGCCTCTCGTGCAAGTTGGTGCGAGCGCTCCAGTTGCTCTCGGAGATTTACGACATAGTCAGGTTTCAAGCTAGAATTAGTGTCATTTGGGGGGAGCCCAACCACTAAGTCGATGGGCTCAGTGATTTCCCTGCCGAACAACATCATGTTTGGGGTAAGTCCGGTGGAGCTGTTTGGTAGCTCGATAAGCCATGACTGCATAGGGAAGCATTAAATCCCAGTCCCAATGGCACCTTTCTGCAGTAGCTGCGAGTGTTTTCTGTAGAGTGGCGTTAAAGCGCTCCACCTGCCCATCTGACTGTGGGTGAAAGGGGGTTGTACGAGTCTTTTCAATGCCCAACAGTTCACACATGCCCTGGAAGACAGCAGACTCAAAATTTGTGCCCCTGGTCACTGTGTAATGTGTAAGGGGCCCCGTACCTGCATACCCACTCTGAGACAATCTTTTCAGCTACCGTTAATGCCTGCTCATTGGAAACCGGATAAGCCTCAACCCATTTACTGAAATAGTCCTGCACAACTAAAATGAAGCGATTATGTCTGTCAGTCTCATTTAAAGGTCCCATAAGGTCAACTGCGATTCTCTCCATAGGTGCCCCGACCCGCACGGTGCCCATAGCAGCTTGTGGCGTCTTCTTTGGACGGGCCTTGGCAGCGCATCTGGTGCACGTGCGGCACCACAATGTCACATCGTCTCTCATATTGTACCAAAAGTACCTGGTTTTAACACGAGCTAGAGTCCTTTCCCCCCCAAAATGGCCCCCAACTGGACCATCGTGCATCTGCTCCATAACTGCTTTACGTAATGCGTGGGGCAGGAGGACTTGAGGGAAAAATGTCTGGCCTTCGGAAGAGAAGAACTTTCTCATCAATACCCCATCTTTCATGTAAAGTCTTTTCCACTGTGACCAGTAGGCCTTTGTGGCTGGACTGTAGGGAGCAATGGTGGACCATGGCGGGCGGCTACACCCGCTATCTACCCACTGCCAAACCGGCGCAATGTCAGGATCTGTCTTTTGAGCTGTGGTGAGCTGCTCTACGGTCCAGCCCTGAAACAAAGTCTGTTGTGTCTCATTCACACTGTGGACACTTGGATAGACTGTGTCACAGCTGTTTAAGTCGCCCACCCCCACTAAGGGAAGCTCAGGGTTAGGCCCCACTACCCCCACTAAAACCTGCCCTGGGGTGGAAGTGAAAGGCTCAGCTAAGGTAGAGTGGTCAGATGGGTCACACTGCACTGCTTTGTCTGCGTAACGGTCACGGTTAAGCTCTGGGACTTTTATAGTACAAGGACAGGATGCCTGGCATGGCCGTCTGGATAGCGCATCTGCATTTTGGTGGACCTTGCCAGGGCGGTGGACAACCATAAAGTCATACTCGGCTAGCTTTTCTAACCAACGCGCTAACTGACCTTCAGGTTCTCTCAGTCTAGTGAGCCAGCGGAGGCTGCTATGGTCAGTCCGGACAGTGAAGGGACGGCCGAGTAAGTACTGCCTAAAGTGGGAAGTGAAGTCCACAACTGCCAGTAGCTCCCTACGTGTGGTACAGTAGTTTTGTTCTGTAGCTGACAGTCGCCTACTCCCATAGGCTAACACCCTTTCCTCACCCCCCTGCACTTGAGAGAGGACTGCTCCAATCCCACAGTCACTAGCGTCGGTGTCAAGAAACATTTCCCCTTTGTCGAGGGGGTAGCCCAGGACTGGAGCTGATGTTAACAGCCTTTTTAGTTCGTCAAATGCCCCTTGGCAATGGGCAGTCCAGCTAAAGCGGGCGTATTTCTTAGTCAGTTCATGCAATGGTTTAGCTATAGTAGCAAAGTCCGGGACAAAGCGCCGGTAGTAAGAAGCTAGGCCTACAAACTGTCTAACTTCGGACACATTTCTAGGGGTGGGCCAGTTTCTTACTTTCTCAGTCTTTTCGGGATCGGTGGCGATGCCATGGGCGGACACAATGTGACCAAGGTAGGCCACCTCCTCGCGAAAAAGGCAGCACTTGGACGGTTTAAGTTTCAGGTTGGCCTGACGCAGTCTGCTAAAAACCTGCTCCAGTCGCTCTAACATCTCTGGAGTGTCCTTTCCCAGAACCACTATGTCATCCAAGTACACTAGACAGGTCTGCCACTGCAACCCAGCTAACACCCGGTCCATAAGTCTTTGGAAAGTGGCCGGGGCGTTGCAAAGCCCAAACGGCATCACATTCCACTCGAAAAGTCCCTTGCGTGTACAGAAAGCTGCAGCTTTACGGGCCCGAGGGGTCATCTCTACCTGCCAGTACCCTGAAGTTAAGTCAAGTGTGCTAAAATACCTGGCAGTAGACAGTGTGTCAAGAGTGTCCTGGATACGCGGCAGTGGATACGCATCCTTGATGGTCCTTCCGTTCAGCGGTCTGTAGTCCACACACAGCCTGGGAGACTTGTCCTTTTTCTTCACCACTACGATTGGCGCTGCCCAGCTACTGTTACTCGGTTGAGCAACACCCGCGTCGAGACTCTGTTGAAGCTGCTGGTCGGCGGCGAGCTGCTTGTCGGTGGCCATTCTGCGTGGAGGCTGCTTGACTGGAGGCCCTGGCAGGGTCTGGATGTCATGTTGCACGATGTTGGTGCGGCCGAGGTCAGTAGGGCCAGTAGAGAAGATATCGGCGTAGGAATGTAGCAGATGGGCGAGTTTGTTGCAGTCACCCTCTGACAAGATGGAGCAGCTCTCACCATACATGACCTGCAAGTGGGAAGGGACAGAAACAGAGTTAATGGGCCCCGGCTTAGACGGGGGCAAGGTTGGCGCCGACTCAAGGGTGGCCACCACCTCGGCGGCACGGTGGCTGAGTGGATAGCACTCTCGCCTCTCAGCAAGAAGGTCCTGGGTTCGAATCCCGGTCGGACCAGGGCCTTTCTGAGTGGAGTTTGCATGTTCTCCCCGTGTCTGCGTAGGTTTCCTCCGGGTACTCCGGTTTCCCCTACCACTAAAAATATGTCCAATAGTTCTGGCATGTGCCTCCTGTACTGGCCCCGCTCCCATCTCTGTGTGGAGTGAGAGACAAGTGCCCAAAAAAATAACAATTGTAAACCGCTTTGAGACTCAGATCTGCAGTGAAAAGGCGGTATATAAATAAAAACTTACTTACTTACTAACTTACTCGGCAGGCTGGAGGACACCGGCCACGGTTCCTCTCTTCAGGGTGACAGGCGTAGACCCAGGGTTGAAGACTCGGATGGGAATGCCGGCGGACTTTAGTGGTTGGACGACCGCATGGGCCACCAGGACACAGTGTTTCTCGATAAAGGCCTTGGTTGGACTGAGCATCAGGTCGCCACCGGTTTGAGAGCGGAGGCTGGCGGACCCAGGTACCACATACTCACGACCAGGTTCCAGGACAGTGGTGCGGGCAATCCGGACGACATGGGCGGCAGCAGGCTGGTAATTGGGGTCGTAGCGTGGAACTTTTACGTTGAAGAGGGATATCTCTCGGCGGCCGTAGTCCAGGCATGCATTGGACTGACGCAGGAAGGGATGTCCCAGGATGACCTCGGTGCTTCGGGCGGTGTCGGCCATAATGAAATCTACATCCGTTGTTCTGCTCCCCACGAAGACAGGCAAGACAACTTCACCCAGGATAGATAAACCTTCAGGCCCTATTCCCTGCAGAACCTTGGCGATGGATGGCTGTACAGGCGGCCTGGACTGGGTTGGCAGAGAGTTGAAATGGTGTAGGGGCAGCACGTTTCGTCTCGCTCCAGAATCCAACAGAGCGCTAAGTCTTAGTCCGTGTATCATAATCTGAACACACATATCTTCTTCTTGGCTTTTACTGCATACAATTACTGCACCAGTGTCAGACGATGGGTTAGGAATTAAACTAACTTGTCTTTGCTGGGGGCGGCGTGGAGAGGGACATTGCTTCTGGATATGCCCCACGCCGGAGCAGTTGTGACAAACGACCTCCTGTGAGGTCATTTTGCTGGTCATAGTCTTATTTGGATGTTGTTGACGAGCTTTTAGCGCCCTGTGTGTGTGCTGGGCGGACGTAACAGGAGCGCACCTTGGTTGATCGCATTCAGAGGCTGGAGCATCCTCCAATACCACAGCCGCTCTTGCTGCCGAGCCGCGGGGACCCAGCCCTGGACGCATCATCTGTGTTACGGCCCTGGCTGCTCTCTTTGTGGTCTCGTACCGGTGGGCAATGTCATAGGCACAAGCGAGTGTACGAGGCTTCTCTTCAAGGAGCTTTTGGATAATGTCAGCGTCGGTCATCGCATTAGTGAAAATCTCCACAGCTATACAGTCCTGTTCCAGTTCAGTACGGTCACCATACACAATAGCGACCTTTTCATAGATGTCGTCTCGGAGTGTGTGCATGGTTTCACCTTGTTTCCTGACTCTCTGCCTCAGCTCGATGCCAACAGCTGCAGCGTGCTCTGACTGCGGCCCATAAGCAGCGTCCACTTCCTTCACAATGTGCTCATAGCTCCAGTTAGCAGAGTTGGGGTTCTTGTGGACAATAGCGCCAGCAGCACCACTTAAACTGAATCTGAGTTGAATAGCTTTAGTCTCTTCTGACCAGTGATTGGCTCTGGCACATGTTTCAAACTGGTAAATAAAGCCTTTCCACGAACCTGTCCCATCAAAGTTACCGGGTCGCAGAGTAGGGATTCTCTCTTTAATCCTGTAACATTCTTCATCACTGCTATCCGCGCATGCCTCCACAACCCGGCGGCGGGGCGCTGACTTTGCCCGCTTATAACTGGGACGACCTGGGTCACATTCATGGGTACTCACACTTGGCCTCCCAGGAAGGCACGGGTATGGGCTGGAACTTAGAACCGGAGCGCTAAACCTGATGGCGGCATCTGGCAGAAAAAATGGCCCGCTGTGGGGTTGAGTAGGCAAACCGGCTGCACAGTCACAGTTAATGGGCTTAGGAAGAGTCTGGAAAACTGTGTTTTCATTCACATCGTTCTTTGTCACAAATGGGGTTAATTTATAGTCGTCAGAATAATGGACGGTCCTAGATTGACAACCGACCGTGTCCGCGGGGGTCAGGAAGGGGTTTGTGTGTGCCGATGGTGGCGGTGTGGGCGGCCATAACGCCCCTTGTTGCTGCGTCGGCCCACGGTGCTCGTTCTGCGCAGCTAATAGCTCCATGCTAATCTCGTTTCTATTACGAACCATCATATTTAGCATAGCTCTTTCAGTCTCTGCCAACTCTGGCCAAAACGGGTTGGTGCTCTTGTTATGCTCTGTTACCTTCGAACGTGTTTTAATATCCGCATTGCCATTTTCACGGTAAACAGGCGCCGCCATTTTCTCGTCGTGGTCCCTGTATTTTCTCCGGACTTGCAAAGACGGATCCCGGACTCGAGCCCCCAGTGTTACTTTTCTTCCCCTGCCCAGTGATCTCTTAACCGTAGTACAGAGGCTGAACAGGCGTAGTACTCGTTAGACGTATTTTTATTCCAAAAATAGAACAGGAGCATGACAGAGGAGCCTTAATGAAGAGAGGCCACTGCAGAACAGAGCGTTGAGCGCCAAAACAACAGACTACACAGACCCAAGACATCCCACAATGCACCGCTCTTAAAGGGCCAGGCTTGGCCTATTACACAGATCTGAGGAAAGTTTTTCCTGTTATAATCTTTGACATGAATTTAGCACCGCCTCGTGCGGTGCGTGAGGAGATCAGCACGCACACAGCCGAGTGTCTTCGCTCCGATGCAGCGCTGGCCGCGCGCACACACACGCACACACACTGCGGCGCTTGGCATTGCGATATTGGTCGCGGTCTTTTTAGCTGACATGGCTCTTTCGTCCTGTGGCAAAATGGCAGAGGAACTCAAAAGATTAACCAAAAGGAGTCTTTTTCTTCTAATAGTTAGATTTGCGCCAATTAGAAATGCGCCAAAATGGCAAAAAAAAAAAATCCTCATCAAATAACGTTTTTGCCATGCCTCCACACACTCTGACAACAACATACGCTCCTTCTCCTTCTCCTCCACACTGACCACAACAACATACGCTCCTTCTCCTCCTCCTCCACACACTCTGACCATAACAAGGCGTTTTAAGCCCAAAATCCACTCCACTCGCAGTGGGGGCTAAAGCTAGACATACAGTGTGTTTGCTAATGCTTTTAAAAATATGTTTTTGATGTGAATATTCGGACTAAACATTGGCAATAGCAGCGCTCACACACCTGTCACACCGCTGCTGATCCTCCTCCTCCTCCTCTGCTCACACCTGTCTCGCTGCTCCTCCTACTCCTCCTCTGCTCACACCTGTCTCGCTGCTCCTCCTCCTCCTCCTCCTCCTCTGCTCACACCTGTCTCGCTGCTCCTCCTCCTCCTCCTCTGCTCACACCTGTCACACCGCTGCTGATCCTCCTCCTCCTCCTCTGCTCACACCTGTCTCGCTGCTCCTCCTACTCCTCCTCTGCTCACACCTGTCTCGCTGCTCCTCCTCCGCGAGTATCCATCTCTCCGTTTACTGCGATTATTCCTGTTACTTTCTTCGTATCTCACTCAGACACTGCTAAAGTTATCTGACAGCTCTGTAGCAGTGTTGCCAACTCCTCAGTAAGGAAAGTAGCTATTGGCTGTCCCAAAAGTCGCTAGAAGTAGCTAAATGACGTCATCGCCTAATTTGCATAATTTGCCATTTGCAAATAACTGTAACGGACGCTGTAGGAGAGAGGAATAAGGTCGTGGGAGAGACAAAAGTGAGTAAAAACACCCTAAATATGTTTAGAACTACAAATGTACAAAAATAATTTCAACATTAACAACATTTAATGATTTTAATGCTTTGTCTAGATCCACATTACACACATCAGTTTTGTCCTGTATTGTTAAATGTTATAACAGCAAATGTAATCAAAAGATTGTTATGTAGGGTGAAATTGCTAGCTCTACAACCAACCCTCCTCCTTTATCCGGGCTTGGGACCGGCAAAGTGACCCAAAAGACACACTCTGGCAGAGTTACTTAGGTTTATTTTTGTAAGTTTTTTTTTTTTTTTTCATAGTTTGGCATAACAAATGATTTAATGTGACCCACTACTGAGAGAAAACAGAGTCACGGACAGAGCTGCCGCGGATGGAGTGGGGGGTAGTGGGGGGTGGCGGTGGTAGGAGTGGCCGGGGAGCTTTGGATGTGTGGTGGTGGTGGAGCTGAAGTTCAGTCTGCAGCAGCCTGAAAACTTCCTGTGCTTTTGAGTCTCCTCTCTCTCTCTCTGCTCCGCCCATAGACTGTAGCTGGGACTGCTGCGCAAGGCTACTGTGAGACTGGCCGCCTGTAAGTGCTTTGGGACGGGGGAGGGGCTCACGTTGAGGACAGCAGAACAATACGTGCTTCACGAGTCTCCAAAACACCAGATAAGTCGCCAAAACACCAGATAAGTCGCCAAAACACCAGATAAGTCGCCAATAACACCAGAAAAAGTCGCTAGATTTGTCGCTAGTCGCTTTTTTGAAAAAAAGTCGCTATAGGGGTCTGAAAAGTCGCTAAATCTAGCGACAAAGTCGCTAAGTTGGCAACACTGCTCTGTAGAGTTTTTTTCGGAGGACCCGCTGCGTACATAGCTGCCCGCGCGCCTGCCTGTTTACAAATCGCTTTTTTTGTGAAAATTTGACTTTACTTGTAAAAATGTTCTTTTGATCAAACAAAATCACAGAGGTCCAGAGAAAGGGTTTTAGGGGTCCAAACTTGGAGTGCAGTCCGCCCTTTGGGGACCCTTGAACTAGTGTATTTATAAAAAATAAAAATAAAAAAAGGAAATAAGATTGCGAGGCCCCTGTGTGGTGCGAGGCCCTGTGCGACGGCACAGGTCGCACAGCCCTTCCGACGGGCCTGTTAGCAAACACACTGTATGTCTAGCTTTAGCCCCCACTGCGAGTGGAGTGGATTTTGGGCTTAAAACGCCTTGTTATGGTCAGAGTGTGTGGAGGAGGAGGAGAAGGAGCGTATGTTGTTTTGGTCAGTGTGGAGGAGAAGGAGAAGGAGCGTATGTTGTTGTCAGAGTGTGTGGAGGCATGGCAAAAACGTTATTTGATGAGGATTTTTTTTTTTTGCCATTTTGGCGCATTTCTAATTGGCGCAAATCTAACTATTAGAAGAAAAAGACTCCTTTTGGTTAATCTTTTGAGTTCCTCTGCCATTTTGCCACAGGACGAAAGAGCCATGTCAGCTAAAAAGGCCGCGACCAATATCGCAATGCCAAGCGCCGCAGTGTGTGTGCGTGTGCGCGCGGCCAGCGCTGCATCGGAGCGAAGACACTCGGCTGTGTGCGTGCTGATCTCCTCACGCACCGCACGAGGCGGTGCTAAATTCATGTCAAAGATTATAACAGGAAAAACTTTCCTCAGATCTGGGAAAAAAGTGTCAAGGCAGGGCCTCGCGTTTCGTGTTCGCACAGGGCCTCGCACCCCCCTTGGGACGGGCCTGGTTAGAGCATTAGTCCCGCATTAACGTCTTATTTTGAGTGCTATTTATCTTTTTAAGGTTAGCCAGCATTTTTAAAGTACCTCGTAGATTTTTCTCGTCAGTTTAGACTAGGCCTAATTGATTTTTCATTTACAATCCTACTTTAGAACGGTGGCCCATTTTATAGACATGCTAGAGGACGAGGACTCTGACATGGAGCTTATCTCTTTGCCAATGCAACACATTATTTTGGAGGATAAACCTGACCTTAGTAAAGAAGTAGTTGATTTGAGAGCAGAAGTTAACAGACTTAGTGACTGTTTACGTGACTCGCTGGACATGCAAAGAACTATGCTGAGACAGTGGGAGCGTCTCTCCAAAGAAAACCCCACCCCTCCTGCGGTCCAGCCATCAAACATTTTTCCAATGGCTACTTCCACACCGCATGTTCCTGCAATGAACAGAGGTGAACCTACACTTCTCACCAACCCGTCCCTCAGCCCTAAAACACTGGAGCTGAGCAATACTTCCAGAGTGATAGCAGCAGCTCTGCACCATGCCAAGCTGGAACCTCCCGTATTCGCAGCGGACAACAAGGTACAGCCAGAAGATTGGTTACAGGCAGTAACTGCATACAGATCCTCATTGGGTCTTACTGATGGACAATTATTGAACGAACTTCCACATTTCCTTTCCAAAGAGCCAAGCAAATGGTTCAAAGCTCTGAGCTCCCATATAACATCTTGGGCTCAGTTTTGTCAATTGTTTCAGACTGTTTTTCTACCCTCGGACAACCAAGAACGCATTCTGAGAGGACTGTTGGATCGTATCCAGGCTCAAGATGAGCCCCTGCCAACTTTTGTCGCCCATATGCTGAGTGAGTACAACAAACTGAAAAGTCCACCTCCTGAAAGAGAGCAAATTGAACTGATTAGGAAACATTCATTTGAAAAATACAGAGTTGCACTTTATGGTGCTCATGTGACTTCGGTAATGGACCTCCTGCTTCGTGCTCATGAGCTCCACTCAGTGCTTGGACCAAGTGGGCCGCAGACTTCTCGTTACAAGGAACACTACAAATCAGAACCCCACTGTTTCAAATGCTCATTGCCAGGGTTCACCACACGCACCTGTCCTAACTGTAATAATTCATCCCCTACAAATGAGACTGCTGCTGCGTCTGCGGGGCCTAGTGCGCAGTCATTTCAACCGCCTGGTCCCCCATACTTGGGCCAGCCAAACTGTGAAAACAGTAGCACCCCTGCCCCACCTCAAAACAGGCAGCCGGGAAACTACATAGGGGGGAGGAAATTTCACAGAGGCCACCCTCCCTCCAGGCACTAAGCGAGCCTCAACCACCACAAGACGGGCCAGTTTTGGGACACTTGGAGGACAATTTTTCGTTAGTACACTGGAATACTCCTTTCAGAACAAAATTGAACTTTAATGGCACTCCCGTTGAAGCTACTCTTGACACAGGAACTTCTCTCTCAGGCATTAGAGCAGATCTTATTCAAGTTAATGACACTTATCCCGCTAAGACGAGTGAGTGGAGGGGCCCACCAGTTAATCTTGCTAACAACGCTCCTTGCATTCCAGATGGTGTCACTTGGCTTAATGTTGGATTCATGAACAAAAACTATTACCAGCGTTTTGCTGTCATCCCAGAACTGTCTACTCCGTTCATTTTGGGAATGGATTTCATGACTAGAGCCTCTATCTCCATTCATATTCCCACAAGAACAGTGTTTGTAGACGATGCCCCCTGCCCGCTCATGGATGAGGAGGACAGTCCAGCGGATTTCACAGGTACAACTGTAAATATTATGTCAATGGACACACTGACCTCCGACCTTAAAACAAAAATGTCAGAGGCCAGCTTAACTGAAGACGACAAAAATGCTCTTCTCAAGATGCTCGCCAAGTTTGGACCGATGTTTGATGGTCACCTTGGTCGAACATCACTTACTGAACGTCATTGAAACAGGGGATGCCAAACCTGTGAATCTCCCGCCTTATCGTACATCGCCCGCTAAGAAACGGGTGATAGAGGAACAAGTACAACAAATGTTACAGGACAATATCATTAAGCCTTCCACTAGTCCGTGGGCAGCTCCTGTGGTCATTGTTAACAGAGAAGCCAGAGACCCAAGATTTTGTGTTGATTTTAGAGGTCTCAACCAGATAACAGAAAAAGACTCGTATCCTTTACCTCGTGTGGATGAGTCACTGGACTTTCTAGCAAGGGGTAAATACATCACAACACTCGACCTAGCGCGAGGTTATTGGCAGGTCGCAGTTGCAGAAGAGTCTAGAGTAAAGACTGCCTTTATCTCACATTGTGGTCTTTTCCAGTTTAGAGTGTTACCCTTTGGGCTTTGCAATGCTCCCGCGACTTTCCAGAGACTTATGAACTCTGTACTCGCTGGTCTCATTTACAAAACATGTGCTGTTTACCTTGGCAACATTGTTATTGCATCTCCCACCTTTGAACAGCATCTGGCAGACCTCGAGGAGGTGCTTACCAGACTCCAATCTGCTGGCCTGTCGCTTAAACTCAGAAAGTGCCAGTTCTGTCTCGAAGAACTCAATTTCCTCGGCTACCGCATCACATCTTCGGGTATTAAACCGGACCCGGACAAGATCAAGGCAGTGACGGAATTCAACACCCCAACTACCGTGAAACATGTCCGGCAGTTCCTTGGCCTGACTGGATACTACCGCCGCTTTATCCAGGATTATGCTCGGCATGCTGAGCCTCTACATGCGCTCACAAGAAAGGATGCGACTTTCCAGTGGGACGACGACTGTCAAAAAGCTATGGACATTTTGATTCAGCGTGTCACATCAGCCCCTGTTTTGTCATTCCCAGACTTTTTTCATTCACACGGATGCTTGTGACATCGGTCTCGGTGCAACTTTAATGCAAAAAGATGACAAGGGTCGTGAGAATATAGTGGCTTTTGCTAGCCGCTCTATTCACAAAGCCGAGCTGCCCTATAGCACTTCAGAAAAGGAGTGCCTTGCTGTCATTTGGGCCCTTGAGCATTTTCGGCCATATGTTGAAGGTATGCATGTAACTATTTACACTGACCATAATAGTCTCAAGTGGCTCATGTCGCGTCAGAATCCGAAAGGCAGGCTTTCCCGCTGGTCACTCCGACTTCAGGATTTTGACTTCACCATAGTGCACAAACCTGGGATACGCAACAAAGTGCCAGATGCGCTGTCTCGAAATCCATTGGCCTCAACTTGTGACTCTCCCATAGATCTCTTGCCGGAGCATGCTGTTATTGGCAGTTTGGACATTCGTGCCCTGCCCCTTGTTCTGCAAGCAGATCGCTCTCAAATCAGGCAGCTGCAGCTTGATGACCCGGTCACTGGGCCGTTGTTAAGGGACATTGAGACAGACTCACAAAACAATGTGGACAATGTTAATCTGCCACAGTATGTTGCTTAGAATTCTCTCCTGTACTGTAAGGTTTCAAAAGCTCAATGTACTATGCACCCTTTAAAAGAGCTCAAGCTGTTTGCGCCTACTACTATGAGGGGAACCTTACTTAACTATTATCATGACCACCCCACTGCAGGTCATCTTGGTATTTCAAAGATCTTAGCGAGACTACGTCTCAGGTTTTTCTGGACAAAAATAGCGGCTGATGTAAAACGTTATGTAACTTCATGCTCAGTCTGCCAGCTTACTAAGCCTAGTCAAAGAAAACCAGCTGGTCTTATGGTCCCAATTGTTCCACAAAAACCCTGGGAGTACGTAGGTGTGGACTTTGTCGGCCCTCTTCCCCGTACTGCAGCTGGTAATATGTATTTGATTGTGTTTGTGGACTACTTCTCCAAATGGGTAGAGGCGAGTGCTGTAAGAGAGGCCACATCACATGTGGCTGCTGGTAAATTTGTTACTGACATTTTTGCTAGACATGGTGCACCTGCCTATCTTATTTCTGACAGAGGGTCTCCTTTTGTGAGTGAGCTGTTTGTACACAGACTTACTACAGCATATCACCCTCAGACTAACGCTACAGAGCGTGTCAACCGGACTCTGAAAACTGCCATACGTGCTTACGTAGGAGACAAACACACTTCATGGGACAAGTACCTCCTACACATTTGTTTTGCCCTGCGTACAGCGCCTCATGATAGCACGGGACATAGTCCCTCCATGATGCTTTATGGCCGTGAGCTAGACACCCCACTTGACCTTATCACGCAACCTTCTAGTGACGGTGTTGATGAGCCAGGTATTCCTTACCCTGAGACTCTTAGAGCCTCCTTACAGGAAGCCCATGATCATGCAAGGGCTGCTCTTGACCATAGTCATGCAGTGTTTCCCACAGGTTTGAAGGCAATGTGTGGTGGTCGTCGGCGGGGGGTGGGGGGGGGGGGGGGGGGGTACAGTGGTAGAGGACAATCTTGAGGTCATGAATCCAGTGAAATTAGTTGCACACCTTTTTACAGTAATAAGTTACAGCAGATCAAAAGTGACATGTTTTGACAATTTTTAGGCTATTTTGGACCAGAATGGCTGCTTTAAATCAATATTTCTACAGTAAAAGTTTCTGGTCTTTGGTACAGTGGTAGAGGGCAATCATGAGGTCGTGAATCCAGTGAAATTAGTCGCACACCTTTTTACAGTAAAAAGTTACAGTAGATCAAAAGTGACATGTTTTGACTATTTTGGAGGTATTTTGGACCAAAATGGCTACTTTACCTCAATATTTCTCAATATTTCTACAGTAAAAGTGTCTGGTCTTTGGTACAGTGGTAGAAGGCAATGTTGAGGTCATGAATCCAGTGAAATCAGTTGCACACCTTTTTACAGTGAAAAGTTACAGTAGATCAAATGTGACATGTTTTGACCATTTTTAGGCTATTTTGGACCAAAATGGCTACTTTAAATCAATATTTCTCAATATTTCTACAGTAAAAGTGTCTGGTCTTTGGTACAGTGGTAGAGGACAATCATGACGTCATGAATCCAGTGAAATTAGTCGCACACCTTTTTACAGTAAAAAGTTACAGTAGATCAAAAGTGACATGTTTTGACTATTTTGGAGGTATTTTGGACCAAAATGGCTACTTTACCTCAATATTTCTCAATATTTCTACAGTAAAAGTTTCTGGTCTTTGGTACAGTGGCAGAGGGCAATAATAAGGTCATGAGTCAAGTGAAATTAGTCGCACACCTTATTCCAGTAAATAGTTACAATACTTGAAAATTGCACTAGCGGACCAAATTGTGTACTTTATACATGTAAACAATAGAGTGGCTATCCTCCTGAGGACTCACAATCTGCCGGAGGAATCGTAGGGGGCTGGTGCTATGTGTGCCGGGTGGCATCTCTATAAGGTTTTAATCACAAAAACGTGTCTCCCTGACCCCAGCGCGCTTTCTGTTCGATAAAAATGGGTGACTCCGAAAGGACGTTCCGCTGTTACCGTAAGTTCTCAACAAAACGCGCACCGTCTTTTCCCCGATGCGGGCCGCATGTTCATAGAGCTGAAAGATGCGGGCCACTTTACCGCGGTAAATTAATAGACACAGCTGCTTACAGCGATGATCGCTGATGGAGACGGAGACACGCGGTGTGCACGAAGGGGAGGGGCTGTGTGTGTGTAGGTCTCTGTATGTGGGAGAGACGCGTAGCTTGAGTGAGAGTTACGAAGGGCCGCCACATTTTAAACCCCCCTCCCCGCTGTCAAATTGACCGCTGCGGCGGCACTAGACGATGCATGTTTTAAATAGCGTAACAAAAAAAATATATATATAATAATACGAAACGCAATTTGTGGCGGGCGGTCTCTAATCTGTGGCGGTGCGCCACAGATTAGTCTATGTGTGGGAAACACTGTCATGACAGGCAGAAGCACTACTATGACTTAAGGCGTCGTCATGCCACCTTTAATGTTGGTGATCTCGTCAGAGTTAAAACCCACCCTCGATCAGACGCTCAGTCCAGCTTTACTGCTAAACTAGCACCCCTATTTGAAGGACCGCTACAGGTTTCGCAGAAACTTAGCGACGTGAACTACAGACTCACTAGGATGGACTCTGGTGCTAATGCTGGTGTTTATCATGTTATGAATATGCAACCGTTTCACACGTGGGACTCTCTCTCCACCAAAGGCCACCCTGTTTCTCCTCCTGCCGTCTGTGGGGGCGATGAGGTTTTGGACATTGATATTGCCCCCCCACATGACTCACACCCAGCAGGCGGACAATGAAACTGCCTTGAGTGCGTTACCTTTTGTTTTGCAGGACATTGACTCTGTTCCTATGGACTGCCCCTCCCCTGAGTCCCTCTCTGACCCGAGCCCAGGACATTACAATCTCAGACCCAGACGTGACCCCAGAATAACATCAGGCTGGTGTGACAAGAAATGGACTAATGCATTTCACACAGACAAAATGGATCTAAAGTGAGCTCTTTCTGTTCTGACTTTTTTGTTTTTGTTTTTCTGGACTTTTATACTGTTTAGTATTACAATGGTGTAGATTGTTTGCTCGCCTGTGTTCATTGATGTTTGCAGAAGTAAGGTTTATGTTTCCTGGCATCTTAAAAAAAAAAAAAGAGAAATCCACTGTACATTTATGTTTTTTGTTTTGCTGAAAGTGATTGATTGGTCTACATTGTCTTTGCCCTGTGTGTCCCGACTTCAATTGTATGTCTATGTATAGGATACTTTTGTGTTTGGTTTTAAATTGCATCTGCAGCTGTGTACGGCTGTGGACAGCCTTTTTCTCACTGGGGGGGACTATGTAACGGTCAGTTAGGTTGTAGCACCATATTACGCCACTGCACGGCGCTATTTGCATATACACTGTATGTATGGTGTTAGCAAGAGGCACACGCATTTTGTCTCTCTCTCCAACTCTACGTAACAAGTGGTACGGGTGAAATAACTGTCATGTATGGCATTATATGAAGACCTGGCATTGTTCTATCAATAAAGTAAGTGGAGATAAAACGAGTCTTTTTCCCCTTTTTCACCTGAAGACTGCCACCCCACATTACACTCTGTGGAGTCCTTCCGTTTCCTGGGCACCACCATCACCCAGGACCTCAAGTGGGAGCCGACCATCAGCTCCCTCATCAAGAAGGCCCAGCAGAGGATGTACTTCCTGCGGCAGCTCATTAAAGCCGAGCTGCCTGCACAGATGTTGGTGCAGTTCTACACCTCCATCACCTCCTCCATCACCGTGTGGTTCGCTGGAGCCACAGTCAGGGACAAACAGAGACTACAGTGCATTGTGCGCTCTGCAGAGGAAGTAATCGGCCGCAGCCTTCCATCGCTGCAGGACCTGTACGTCGCCCGAGCTCGAGGCCGGGCTGGTCGTATCACAGCCGACCCCTCTCACCTGCACATGGACTATTCCAACCACTCCCCTCTCACCTGCACATGGACTATTCCAACCACTCCCCTCAGACAGGAGGCTGCGGTCCATCAGGACTAGAACCTCCCGCCACAAGAACAGTTTCTTCCCCTCTGCTGTTGGACTCTTGAACACTTCTTAACCTGTCCCCCCGCCCTTTATAAAGTCACTTTACTGCCCATCATACGTCACTTTACTTCACTGTACTGCTGTCACCTTACATTGTGTGCACCATGTGCACTTGTATATTGTAAATAGTAACTGTAACTCTATTTTAATTTTAATATTTAATTTATTCCTCAGAAGTGTTTTCTTTTTTCTTTTCTTTTATTCTCTCTCTCTGACTGTTGCACTGAGCCAAAGCAATTTCCAAGTCTGTGACCTCTTGTTACTTACGTGGCAATAAAAATGATTCTGATTCTGATTCAATAGCGCCACCTACAATTATTTTTTCTTAATCTTATAGAACAACAAAATTAACAATTTGCGTGTCTCCATGTCTTTCTATGAAAATAACCACAATTTGGCATGCGCAGAACATTTGACTAATTAAAATCCTACGAGTAACTATTGATGGTACATGTTTGTAGATGACGTGGAGCTGAGTTAGTGAAACGGCCGAGGCTGATTTGAGGTTTGTGTGAGGTGCACATTTCAGAGATGGAACAATTTTGCCGTTGACACAGAATGGGAAGCGTTTGTCGTCGCCACGGCAACAGTGTAAAAAATAAGTCTTGGGTTTCATTGACTTTTTGAATCAAGGCGTAAAAAATTTATTATTTGCAAAAATTCAAACATTTTGCAAAAAATACATATGATTATGCCCATTTAAAACTATAACATTGTCTGTAGGGGGCGATAATGGGCCAATTTTAATTATTTCACTTTCCTTGGACCTTGGAATTGAAAAACGCATTCGATTTTTGCGCAAATCGGACTTTGTAAGTGTAAACGGGAGCAAATTTGCTATTGTCAAACATTTAAAACAATGTTTGCATCTCCGCTACTCAGTCAACGTTTAACTGATCATTATTCTACGAGCAACTATTGAAGGTACATGCGTTTAGATGATG